GTGATCTTCAAATGCACCTGAATGCATTAAAATAGTAACATTTTTTATGTTGAAAATCGTTACCTAGAGGTCAGCTTAATTTCAGCGTAAGAGGATAATTTGGAATAAAAGTTTCGAGTCTACTTCTTGGAGAAAAAGCTAAAGAATAAGGCCAACTCTTTAGGACGTAAAAAGAATGCAAAATCATGAGTATGCCATAAAATAAGAAAATATTATTTTTATATGATCAAGAAAGAATGCTTTCACGAATTCCCTGAGTTTTTGGAAATGTTTCATTAAAAGGGTTGAATAAAGAGATTTCATTTCTTGCGTATATCTCAACATCTTTCGATCCATCTTTTCATACTTTTGTATTTTTCTTAATATGCCCTTGTTTTCTATATCCGGAAGGCTCTATTCCTTTACTGATTTAATTGTACTCAGTTTCCGTCGCGTTGAGGGACTTACATACGCTCTGACGAGTCGGTTAACGCTCGGAAATAAATTATCTTGTCATACTCCTATAGCGACGCAGCACCATAGTTTCTTTAGAAATTTAGCCCTTTATTCATTTGAATGACTTACAGGATTTGAAAACTTTATAACGGCCTGTCCCAGCAGACTAGGGTGTGTCTATTTTCGTATATATCTATGAGCATGGGAGATAATCACTGTGTTTTCCATCACAATTACTATAAATTTTAAAACCATGTCCATTTTCACGAGTTTAGCTCCCGTATATTTCAATTCTAATAATGGAAAGTTTTTAATTTTCTTGAGAGAGAATCTCTTTAATTTTAAAAATGATTTGCTTGTGAAAACATGCGTCTGGTAGACTCGGGCTATTGTAACAACGTATAACGACACCCGGTGCTACCAGTATGGTTGCTCAACTGGCCGATTCAGTCAGCAACTTTCAATAGAGAGGACTTGTTTTTGGAATTACGAGTCTTTCAAATATGTATGCATATATATACTTCTATATTGCAATGTTCGCCGATACGTGTGTGTCATTCTCTGTAAACATGAACGTCTGGAATGATAAAAAACCAAGAGTACATGACGGAGACAGAAGAATAAGCCTCAAGATAAATATTATAGGAAAATTCATTACTCGACGAGGGATTCCGCATAAATATCACTTGAAAACCGATATCGCACTCNTCCTCGTTTCTTTCTAATTAGTTTGGCGCTTCCCAGCCTTGAGAAATTGCTACTTTTTATGTCGTTTTTATAATAACTTTGTTTCGTTAAACCTTTAGAACATAATAGTATGCGAATTCTCCTCACAAATATACTAGTCTGCCACTGAGGCAAGCAATAATACAAAAAAGGAAAATGTATTCTGATGACCCGTTTTGGTTGAGTTTTTTTCTGAGCTTTGGGAACTGAAGAATAAAAGAAGTTTAGAATAATATTTACACTCCAGAAACAATGAGACGGTGCAGGTTGAAAGAATTTTTCCTCAGACTGATCGAGATGTACTCCAGCGTATAATGTAAGAGAGCCTCTGTTAGCATCTTACCTTGATATGAGAGGAGTTTAAGCTGCGAATGAAGAATGGATCTTTTGTGTCTATTTCCTCCAGCTCAGGCAAATCCTTCAAAATAATTACGAGGGTAGATGTTACGCCCCACTTCAAGCCTAAAATTCCATTTTGTCAGCGGAACAATACCTGGCTTTACACTTTTAAAGAAGCTGAGATAAAAAATGAGGGCGAAGGTTCAGTTTAATTTTATATTTCATTGCAGATGGTACGGAGAGGTCTAGTGCGTTTTATGTAAAAGATTGAGATAAAACCAACCTCTTGGGAATCAGGGAAATCACCTGACCCCTCTCTTGGAACCTCTGGCAGTGAAATCGTTTCAACGTCATCTTCTGAGAAAAGAATGAACAACTAGTTGGTTAAAAATAGAGTGACGCTGAATGTGTCATGTTTTATGTACATAAAATACGAGTTGTTAGTTATCACTGAACTCAAACCGAAAATAACAAGCCACTGATAGGCGAAATAAACAGAATCCGTGGCTGCTGACTTCCACTTTGGTTATGCTATAAATATGTGACAAAAACAATTAAAACAAAAACACAACAACAACAGTTCAGAGTGGAAAAAGTGACTGCACATTCGCCTATGGAGTTGTAGAAGCATTCTGATTTAAGGTAGGAGGCGAGGTAACCCTGAGATTCGCTACAAAATTCAGTTTTGTTTTTCTAGGTATTTGCTGCATTAGGCATTTAACTTTACTTTGAAGAAAGATTCATTCCAGTCAAACTTGCCCATACATGTACCTTCTAATTCGGTGACCAGCACTCCTTCTCCTTTTCGTTTCTCTAACTCATCAGAAAACGAGCAAAGCTCAGTATAAAATTTTGGTATAATTTTTCCTTTAAAATTGCGAAGAATGAGGAATTTCTTACTCTTCCAAACTATACTTAGACATGCACGTGCACGACGTTTTCTCAATAAATGATCTAAATGAAAAGGATTCCTCATTCGTATCATATTTTAAAACAACAAACATGTTTATATTAAAATTTTGCAATCATGACCTAACATTAGTGCTTACCGCTCTTATCAGTATACTTAAGGAACAGCCGTCATACGATGCTAAACGTAACACTGAAAACTTATTAACAATATAACAATCACCTTCACCCAGAACTATTTCTGTTATCATAGGACCAGCCCTTTTGACTTGATGCTGTCGAGATCCGCTAAAGATTCCATGATCAACAAGCACTTGGTACTCAGCGGAAGATCCGATTGTGACAGTCTCTATCTCCTGAACTGGAGGCGTCTCAGGTACTGAAGCCGAACAAACATCGTCGCCTTCATTCCTAGGGTCGGCAGTTTTCGTGTTAACATCAATTGATACGATTCCAGGCTCCTGTTTTTCATCAGCCTGCGTTTGTTGTCGCTCAGTGTCTTGGCTGATTTCAATATCACTTTCATCGCTTCCCCCGCCGCTGTTTCCTAGAGAGTTTTCATCGTTTTTGTCGTCTATTGTAATCTGCTGCTGCTTCTGTTTCTGCTCAAAAAGACGCAAATGTGGTTCTTAAAATTTGCACTCACATTGTGTGAAATTTTGACACCCAGCTTGAAGAAATCGACGTATTAAAAGACAACGTTAAAAAAACGCAATGTTTAGGTACTATGATAGATTTCCTTTTTGTAGCTTTTTATTCGAACATGGCAATGAACAAATTTAAATAACATTCCAATCATGTTGAGCTGACTAACTAATAGAATCTCCTGTTACTTTACGCGGAAGACGAATAAAAGAAAAGTTGGCCGCAGGTTAGTCGTTTGCAACCAAAATTTTCGGTGACCCAAGAAACACACGTTAAGAAAGATGTAAAGCGTGAAATTGAGTTTTATTTCAATATCACACGAAGATACAAGTATTAAATTTTATTTCCAACATGCCAGGAACGTGTAAATGTCTTACCCTTATTAGATCGTTTCGTTCCCTTATTTTCGCCATTGCTGCATAAAACAATGTTTAAAAAGGAGATTAACAAATACCTGCTTGCAAATAATACCTTAACATAAATTACATATTACATAAATACATAAATACATAAATTACGTATTACATAAATTTATAAAACCATAAATCTTCCATTAAAAAAGGCCGAATCTTCTTACCATTAAAACTGTCCATGATTTTTTGTTGTTCTCGTGTGATCCATCTCTCCCTTTCTTCTCGCTCAGCCTCCACTCCACCTTTTTCCCTTGGTAAAAGAGAAATTTTCAATCGGTTGCCCACAGAAATCTGAGATTTCTTTGTGATTAAAACAATTTTCGTCTAAGAGTCGAAGGTAAATTGAAATCACATTGCTACTGCTTCATTGTACTTTCTGATTGGTCCAAGAGATTTCGCGCCATGCTCTCAACCAATCAGATACAAAACTAAAACCAATTACGACTTGGTCAGCCGCGTTTTCCCGCGCTTTAGGCAGTTTGTTTGATTTTTACTGTGTTCTCATTGGCCCCTTGGAGTATTTTCCTTTCTTCTGATTGGCCCTTGCAATAATATTGGTTTTATTATCACGACACTTAATCGAAATGCACTATATTTAACTGTCCAATCACAATCGCGCTTTTCGTTCGTTTGAATGATGGATTTGGTTTTGGTTTACGACTCTCCTTTGTAATGCATGTTAAAATAGGATAATGTTTTCATTTACATCTTTTAGATGCTCACTTGCAACCACGTAAACCCGTCAAACACAAATAATCTTAAAGTGCTATGATGAAAAGCACTTCAATAATATACATTTACATGTACTACCTCTAAGTTGCACATAAAAGAAACCCTGTAAGTGTATGTAAACTTGATCACAAGCTTCCACGCAAACTTTTACTTCCCTGTTTACTATTTACTCCCGTCATTTAGTGAGGGGTATTATCGCATTTGAAACCGTTTTCACCAAGGTCTTCCCAAAAAATAAAGTCAAATTCTTACCATGCCTCAGCACAAGCTCTTTCTCTAGGAAAAACTGGTCTGTCATCAAGGTATCTGAGGCCTTTCTAATAGGAAAGAAGTGTAATATCCCTAAACATTCTGATGCAAGGATGACTAAGAGTATACTACAAATTAAAATCAAAATCGCATAATATAATAGAATCTCGCATTCTGATTGGTTAACGGGGTGAGTTATTTGGCATGGAACTGCGAGTTGAAAACGAGGCTAGGTGATATTGCTTCGTATCTCTTGTTTCTCGCTTAGGATAAAAACAAACAATATATTGCTGTTTTATTTTTATTTCTTATTTTCAATTACTCAATTATGCGATTTAAGGAAAATCCATCACCTGACTCGTGAATTCCGCGTTAAATTGAACTTGAAAATCGACATCACACTCATCGCTTCACCATTCGTGCGATGTTGGTTTTCGCGTGAAAATTAATGCCGAATTATCTTGTCAAGTAATGAATTTTCCCATAAAATTAAAATTTCTTTACTGTACATTTACTTTTTCATATAATTAGTTAAAATACAGTAATTTCCTTTTTTTTGATAAACCAAATGATATCACTCATCGCTTTACCATTCCGCTAATACCAAATTCCCAACTCCCTCGTCAGGTAATGAATTTTTCCCATAAAATTTAAATTTCTTTACCGTGTATTTGCTTTTTCTTACAGTTAAAATACAATAATTTCCTTTTTTTTTTTGATACATCAAATGATGAATGGTACCATTAGTGGGGCTTCCTAAATTACAGTGTGTCAGTTCATCTGTAGCAAGGTTGTTGCCATTTAGTTTTTCTTTTTAACTGCTTAAACCCAAAGTGTTCATGTACCAGCAAGAGGCCAGCCACGCTTCCTTGCTTAAAACAGTCAGTCATTTCCACAAGATGGACACGTATGTCCCTCTTTGTGAACGCCAATTACTTTGAGTTAAATTAAACTCGCTTCTACTGAGAATCTAACGTTTTTATTATAATTAATTTGCGCCAATGTGTCTCCTCCAGTGTAAAACGAAGATCGCAGCTACATTATGTATGGATGTAGCTGTATCTAGTATAGTTATTACTGTTTTAGGAGTATCTCGATTAAAGATTAAAGATAAAGATGGTAAGTGGTCTGAGCCGAGTCGGTCGAATGTATATTGACGTACCACATTGTTTGAAAAGTCTCGAGTTCCTAAGGTTGTTCCTCTTACAGATTTCTATGAACTTTTCAATTTTCTTTTGCTTACTTCACGGAAAATGGTTGTTTTTCTTTGAAATTTTCCGTGGGAAATTGGCGGGCGGACGGCCGGATAGAATTGATACCCTTACGCATGCCCGACGTTTGACCGCTGTGTTAGGCGTTCACCATCGTGTTAGTCTGTTTTACAGTGTAACGCCGCTGACAACGCTAGCTAGGCGTCTTTGTTGAAAACATTACTCCACATAAACCACATTAGATTGAGGGTTCCCAATAGGTTTTTCGAGATCCGGGATTTGGCTTATTTGAAGGCCGGGATTCGAGATTTTCAGTTGAAGGAAAAGGGGGACGAGATTAGGGATTGTATTTATGACCGGGACACGGGATTTGGCGATTTTAACAGGCGGGAATCGGGAAATGTCGCTTTAAAGAAACCGAGATTCGGGAATTCCAGAGGCTGAAATATGCAAAGAAAATCAAGCTGTCATTTTAGCTAGCTCATCTTATTATCTTATCTTATTATCTTCTATTCGCTCCGACGAAGGGCTAACGCTCGAAACGTCAGCTTTTGTAATCGTTATGGTCGCCAATTTACCATTTCAACTTTGTCGATATATCCAAATCATCTTATTAACGTCGGAAATGGTGGGAAATAGTCGAACAATGACCTAGGTGACATCCACGTTTTCCACGACACTGTCACGCTGCTCTGTGACCCCTATGGTGATCTGTGGTCTATTTTCGTGAACCTTGGACACCTTGGCCGTAATGAGAATCTAACTTTGTTATTCGTTGACCGTGATATTTCTAGTATCAAGCTTATACATATCCTGATCGGTGCGCGTGGGATATTCGACGCGGGGGAGACTAGCTAAGTTATCGTTTGCGTAGTTTAACGCGCCCTAGCGATGTCGGTTAACACCGACAATGATGTTGTCGATGTTATTAGCTGCGTAGCTTTTATGAGAAGGGGAAGAGCGGAAATTCGTTTCTTGTGTTGTTGCCTCTACTAATTTAGACTTTTGGAGCTATTGCATTGCGAATGAAAACAATGAATTGCGAGAACTTCGACAGTGAAAAATGACATGGCGAGTCTTATAACTAATAACGACGAGGCCGACGATGATGTTGGTGGAATTCCGTCGTTGGATCGCGAGGCAACTTTTTTGCTTGGAACGGTTCCACGTTTTGGAAGAACTGTTCGGTTCAATAGCAGAATTCAAGTTTAATTGCAGCGAATTGCTAAAGAAGCTCCTAAATGATACCAATCATCAAATAAACATTTCGCATTAAATTTAGCCGTAGGTGACCAAAGCGTACTATAAGAGTTTGTATGGATTTAAAATTCAAATTATCTCTGTTTTTTCCTTTGAAAGCTACAATACAGTGACGCGTACTCTTTAATTCGCGTCAAAATCGGTCAAATGGCTAACAGAAGCGTTTCGGCGACATAAAGAGGACACCACTTAGAGAGGTTCGAACTTTATCGTAGCTTTTCAAAGGAAAACAGAAATAGTTTTCGTTCGAAATTGAAATCCATACAGGCTCTTATTTCAACCTCTTATAGTACGCTTTGGTTACCGGTGATTACGGCATTTTGGGCCGGAACATGTAGCACTGTTAAACTGGGGTCGAAAAGAATATATGTTTCAGTATCTGTTGAGCACAATTGTACTCGATTTTATGGAATTTCCAGATGATCGTTGCCATGGCTGAAAATTGTGAATGAGCAAACTGTCTTCTGAGTTGCGATTGACGGTGACTTATCATATGTGTAGTGAACAGTGAAGATGCCGTCCATGCAGC